GCTGCCAATAGTGGAAGCTCCTGGATATCACAGGCACCCAGCCTCCATTTTGCGATGCAGTTGTTAATACGCTTTTATTTTTATTTTTATTTTTTTTTCAATTTTCATCTGATATAGAATTTGTTCAATAGAGGCATTTTACAAGAATTTTCAACTCCGTAAAGTTTCAAGCTGTTGTAAGTTAATTCCGTTTCAAAACATCTCTATGAGAAAACGTTAACAATTTCTTACCAGCTTTCTCAACCAATCAAATGACGAATCGAACGACTCGGCCACGTGCGTTTTCCCGCGCCTGGCGCCGCGATTTTTCTGCAGTTGTCTGTTAGGTGTTAGCTTTTACGTAGCCTCACAAAACGCAAAAATTCTCTAGAGAATTTGTGACGAGCCGAGGCAAGGTCTCCAAATCGTTTGACAAATCAATTACCAACAATAGACACTTAAGTGATTTGTTCTCTTACCTGTAGAGTGCCATTTGTAAGATGAAGTACAATGGCGTCCTTGGTACGAAACCACTGCTTCAAGAAAGGTAACCTTCCTGATTCATCTTCTTTAGCACCCTTAGAACCCGCTCCAGCCTACAAATATATAAATAATAGTTTAATCAAGGCAATCAATCTAAAGGACAGACCCAAATGTCCAAATGTTCAGGGAATATGGAGTGTGTGGAGATTTTGGGCTAGCACGGTTAGTCAAGTGGCTGAGCACACAACTTGACAAGGTAAAAGTACATGTAGGTTAAGTCTGCATACGAGCCAAGTGGCTCGTCAGGCCGAAGCTTATCTTGGTTTCAGTAGCATGAAGGGACTAGGAGTAATTCTACTCCCCCCTGGATGGGATGCTAGTCAATCGCAGGGTTACCCCCAGCATTAAATTCGCTGGTACCCATTTAAACAACTGGACAAACGGACACAAAAATCTTGCACGAGGATATACAATGCACACGCGCGGATTTTTTTTTTCGCTTGAAAGCTTGCATGGTTGCCCACTAAATTACCTAATGAAGCTAAGTTCTGAAGATAAGATTGATGAACCTAAAGTTCTGTTAAGTGTATATATGCAGTTGCAACGCCTTTAGAAAGTTACATCTGTTAGTATTGCAGAGTATATGAAAACAATATTGATCAGAAAATATATACCTTTAGCAAGTGCTCATTCATGTAGCTAAGGAAGTACTTCAGGAGTCTAACTTTCTTTTCAAGGTATTCAGGATAGCCCTTTAAGGTGTGGTAATGTTCACTTCCTTCCTCGTCAATGTACTGGAGATTACTGCAGGAAAAAAACATCAATGCCATATTGGCTTTAGAGCAGTAATGTATGACCACCGCAAGGCGTAACAAGGTGGCCTTCAGGTCTAGCCAACTGGTTTTATTTTCTCTGTGTGTTACAGCACTTGTGGTACTGCTTAAAGTTAAAAAAAATTCCTCTTTTATGAGTTATGCAATTGCCCTTATTTTTTAAATTAGTTTTGGGTGTATTACGGGGAATCCACATTTAGTAAAAACTTGATTCTTTGAACCTTCCAATTATATTTTGAAGCAGATCTTTGTTCTTGGCAAAACATTTTAGAAGACATTTACCCGTGACATATCAAACCTGTTGATTTTTCAAGGCAATTGTGGTTTGAAAAAATTGCAATTGCACTGTATTGCTTCGTAAACCATATAGGTAAAGTCTGCATATGAACCAAGTGGCCCATCAGGTCAGAGCTTATCCAGGTTTCTGTAGCATGAAGTGACTAAGAGTACACTATATTTCTACTCCCCCCTGGATGGGATGCTAGTCCATCGCAGGGTTACCCTCAGCATTAAAGTCACTGGTACCCATTTATACACCTGGGTGGAGAGAGGCACTGTGAGAGTAAAGTGTCGTGCCCAAGAACACAAACCACCCGTACCACTTGATCCAAAGTCAAGGATGCTAAAAATGAGGCTACTGCTTGTTTGATTTTGGATAAAATGAAGAATTTGCTACTCACTCTCCATCCTGGTAAAGGATGAGCCTTGTCAGGTCATTGAAAAGAACACCAACACTGTTGTCACTTAGCTGATAACCAAAGCCATACTTGTCTGAATAATCCACCCATTTACCAACCCAGTACACCGGTGCATAAGCAGGGTCTTCTGCTTCATCTATTCAAAAATAACAATCACATTCAGTCAACTGTCGAAAATTCTCTGAGTTATTGATTACTGTTCAAAATGATCCATACATAACTGTCAGAGTATTATATCACAGCTGGCATCTTAGAATTCCTAGCCCAACTGCAAATTTCAGTAGTCCAGGGCAAATGAGACAAGCAAGGAGATCAAATGTTGCTTGTGGAAATACAGTTGAACCCTACCATTTCAAACCCTCAGGAGAAGTGAAACATAGTTCAAAATGGTGGGAGTTTGAAATAGCCATTAGTAAATAACTTAAACTGAAATCCAAGAAAAACAGTTTTAGGGTCGAATTAACCGAGTTTGAATTAGCAGGATCCAGCTGCAATGAANCACGAAAATATCTAGAAAGACTGAGAAAACAGAATTATAGAATGGATTCTCCAGAATGAACAATCTTATCAACTTGAAACGTGAAAAACTTGAAATTCTGGCCAAAATTGATGGAAGTGCATCAGAAGCAATCTTAAGCAAGGAATTGAATTTTGAAACAGAAAGTTGAATTCCCAGTTGAAAATGTTGTACCTATTATAACTCCGCAAATAAATACTTTAACAATGGACAGAATCCGTCATTTCAAGGTAAAAACTTCACCCATAGGGCTAATTGACTAAAATAGGAGAAATCTTAATTTCCGTCAGGAATTGAAACGAGATGTGTTAAAGGAAATGTTTTCACAAGTCTCGTCTATAAGAAATGCTGCTCATTCTTTCTTGCCCTTTTTTTCCGTCTCCTGAATCTGATCGATCATCTTACGAGCATAATGAAGTCGACTGGCTAAACTCCTGCAGCATCCATGTTTCTCAATGTTCTTTAGAGGGAATGTACGGAATTTCTCGCTCTCATCAATATACGTCGCGGCACCCATAAGAGGGCAAACGATAATCTTGGTGTGGTCTTCGAAAAAGTTTATCTGCAACAAAAAAAAAAGAAAAATTTCGTTTAGAAAAACCGACTCACAGTTCAGTCACCCAGGATATAGAAGTAACATAGCGAGGGTAAATTAATTTCCACTTCAAAGCATCTTTTAGCTGTTCAATACAACTCTTTCACGTATTCCAAAATGCTTTAAACAGTTTGCCTTACTATATTTGGTACGTTTTTATTTATTTATTTATTTATTTATTTATTTATTTATTTATTTATTTATTTATTTCAATTTTCATCTCATATAGAATTTGTTCAATATGGGCATTTTACAAGAATTTTCAACTCCGTAAAGTTTCAAGCTGTTGTAAGTTAATTTCGTTTTTAAACATCTTTGTGAGAAAACGTTAAAAATTTCTTGCTAGCTCCTCAACCAATCAGATGACGAATCGAACGACTCGGCCACATGCGTTTTCCCGCACTTGGCGTCGCGGTTTTTCTGCAGATGCTTGGGTTTTACGCAGCCTCACAAAACGCAAAAATTCTCTAGAGAATTTGTGACGAGCCGAAGCAAGGTCTCCAAATCGTTTGAAAAGTCATTTACCAACAACAGAGGCTTAGCGATTTGTTTTCTTACCTGTAGAGTGCCATTTGTAAGATGAAGTACAATAGCGTCCTTTGTACGGAACCACTGCTTCAAGAAAGGTAACCTTCCTGATTCATCTTCTTTAGCACCCTTAGAACCTAAACTAAACTGACTAATGAAGTTAAGTTCTGAAGACATGATTGATCAACTTAAAGTTCTGTAAAATGTATAGTTGCAAGGCCTTTAGACAGTTGTATCATTCTGTTAGTATTGCTGAGTATAGTAAAATAATATTGGTCAGAAATACCTTTAGCAGGTGCTCATTCATGTAGCTAAGGAAGTACTTCAGGAGTGTAACTTTCTTTTCAAGGTATTCAGGATAGCCCTTTAAGGTGTGGTAATGTTCACTTCCTTCCTCGTCAATATACTGGAGATTACTGCGGGAAAAAAACATCAATGCCATATTGTTTTAGAGCAATAATGTATAACCACTGCAAGGCGTAATAAGGTGGCCTACAGGTCTAGCCAACTGGTTTTATTTCCCCTGTGTTACAGCACGTGGTACAGCCATGTCTTTCTTTTTACACCCACTCAGGTGTAATATAAATTATTGATTCAAGGCAATGTGGTTTGAAAAAATTGATATAAATTGCACTGTATTGCTTCGACAATAAGGTAAACCATAAAGGAAAAGTCTGCATGTGAGCAGAGTGGCCCATCGGGCCAGCGCTTATCATCAGTTTCTGTAGCATGACGTGACTAAGAGTACGATGTATTTCTACTCCCCCCAGGATGGGATGCTAGTCCATTGCAGGGCTACTCCCAGCATTAAAGTGCCTGGTACCCATTTATACTATTGTGTGGAGAGAGGCACTCTGAGAGTAAAGTGTCTTACCCAAGAACACAACACAATTCCCCCAGCCAGGGCTCGAACTCGGACCACTTGATCCAGAGTCCAGCGCACCAACCATGAGGCCACAATCGTACATGGTTTTAATTGCAGCCCCTTACCACCCAGACCACTTGAATCAAAGTCAAGGGTGCTGAACATGAGGCTCCTGCTTGTTTTCTTTTGGGCTAAATAAAGAATTTGCTACTCACTCTCCATCCTGGTAAAGGATGAGCCTTGTTAGGTCATTGAAAAGAACACCAACACTGTTGTCACTTAGCTGATAACCAAAGCCATACTTGTTTGAACAATCCAGCCATTTACCAACCCAGTACACTGGTGCATAAGCTGGGTCTTCTGCCTCATCTATTTAAAAATCACAATCACATTCAGTTCACTGTAAGTTGAAAATTCTCTGAGTTACTGATTACTGTTCAAAATGATCTACATATAACTGTCAGTATTATGTCACACCTGACATCTTAGAATTCCTAGGCCAACTGCTAAATTCAGTAGTTCAGGGCATATGAGACAAGGAAGGAGATCAAATGTTGCTTGTGGAAATACAATTGATCCCCCCTATTTTGAACTCTCAGGGGAAGCGAAACATGGTTCGAAATAAGCAGAAGTTTGAAATAGTCATTAAGTAAATGACTGAAGGGCAAATCCGAGGGAAACAGTTTTTAAGGTTCAAAATAATGGGGAATTCGGAATCACCAAGTTTGAATTAGCAGGATCCAGCTGCAATTAATGAACTTGTAAGTTTTGCTAATGATCAAATGGAAATTACCTTCATTGATACATGTTCTGTGACATGGTTTAGTGTCCAGACATGCTGTGATGTGACTGTGGAGCTGCCCAAGGTAGCAATCTTTAGGAATCACTGTGACAAAAAAAGGTACAAAATTAATCATAAACTGTATTGAAGAGTTCAAAGAATGCTGAAACGGACAGGAAAAAGGTAATTAAAGGAAAAACTGTTGTAACTGTTAAATAGGATTAGAGTTAGAACTGCTTGATTTAGTCTCAAAGTACCTTCTTGATTTTCATCTTTCAATTCCTCAGCAACAGCTTCACCAGGCATAATCAGTTTACTTTCTGCACCACAAACTCTGATACCAAGTGATCTTCTATTACTAACTTTCTCTAAAAAGGCAGCCTTGTCTCTTCTTCCCGCAGTGGTAGCAGGACGAGTTTCTTGTGAGTTCAACTCATTGAGTGGCCTTCTAGACATACCAAGAAGATTTGAAGATGACCCTGTTGCAAACCTGGGCACCATAGTTAAGCTACTGACTGGCATGCGGCTTGGTGTAAATCCCTTAAAGAAGTCATCGTCAAGAACCTCTTGTAGACCTGGTCTTGTTGCGGGGTCTGGTCGCAATAGTTTTATGATTAAAAGTTGGGCTGTGTGTGAGACTTTTGAAGGAATGTAGTATTCATTTCTCTTGATTCGCTGGTATATGTCTTCCAAGCTTGAGGCTTCAAAAGGTGGCTTGCCAACAAGAAGAGTGTACCTGTGGATAGATAATAGCCATACTTATAAATTCCTGTAAACTGTTGGTCAGTTTTTGTTTTGTTTTGTTTTTTTTTTCCCGTTCTGATTCTCACCAATAAAAATCACTATTTACTATATTTTACCAATTGTTTCCTACAAACACTTGACACAGAACTGAAAAAGTGTTACCCAATGGATGAAGTTTCAAATCCTAGTGTTTGATACATACTTCTTACTAGTAGTGTTTGGAAATGTGGTCAATCTCAGTCTTTAATTTTGTGTTTGATATATTAATTTTTACATGTGTGATATGCTGGTGTTGTGAACTTCACAAACATGTTTTTTATTATGTTAACATTTAACAACTAAATAATTAATTAACATATTGTTTTACAGTTATTGTAAAACAGGGATAGTAATAATTATAATAATAATAACTATAATTATAATATTTATTAACTTCTATTGCACCAATATTGAATGTAAAAATTTTCATCAGGGCAAGTATACAACCTCATTCCCAGGGTTTCTCATGTGCTTCTTTGGCAATTGAGAACACCAGGGAAGGGTCCTATGTAATGAGGCGATTTTTTGCATTGAGGTTTGTCAAATTCAAAGCAATGTATTGTGCTTGCAAACAGTTCTAATCAAATAGCTGGGCAATGGCCAGTTTGATGTCATATTTTTAATCAGAAAGAAACAAATTAATAAACAATTATTATTAACTTACAGAATACATCCCAATGACCAGACATCCACCTCAAAGCTATGTCCCTTCTTGTTGAGTACTTCAGGTGCAATGTAGTTAGGAGTGCCACACAGGGTTCTGAAAAAATTAATAATATCAGACCCTACATTTAAAATGAAAGGGTAAAAGTTGTAGTCCATGTCCTAGGAGTTGTAATGAATCATTTGACAATACTTTTTAAAAAGATGGCTTCAAAAGAGCATGTTCACCCTTTTTTATTTTCCAACTTTGAGATACAAACTTCCAAAGACACCATGTTTGTGTTTGCATCTTTCCACCTAGATGTATATATCAGCACATTGAAATGTTTATAAATGTCTGCTATTCTGGGAGACTTGACAAATCTTGGTCTGAACTTTCATTCACTTTTCGTTTGATATCAATCCCATTTTCCTTTGCTACACTGCTGTAATAAGTTGTTAATAGAACATGTACATACCTAGCTAAGATAACAAGCCTGAAACATTTACAATTTTTATACCCTTCACCATATTTAATTTTCTTACTTTTTTCTTTCCCCATCAATCATCACTCTAGTCGCAAGACCAAAGTCCCCAATCTTGACATCCATTTCATCGTTTAGGAATAAGTTTCCAAGTTTAAGATCACGATGAATGATCTTGTTGTCATGTAGATATTTACAGCCTTCAACTATCTGCTTCATGAAGTAACGCACTTCGGGTTCAGTTAGGGCTTTTCGACGTTTATGAAGTTCCATCATGGACTGAAATGTGAAAACAAGAAAAAGAGGATGCTTAATTACACATGTATTAGGTAAAGTCTGCATACAAGCCAAATGGCCCGTCAGGCTGGAGCTTTTGTCAGTAGCAATTGAAGCAACTAGGAGGTATTTCTACTCCCTCCTGGATGGGATGCTAGTCCATTGCAGGGTTACCGCCCAGCATTAAATTCGCTGGTACTCATTTATACACCTGGGTGGAGTGGGACGATGCGAGAGTAAAGTGTCTCACCCAAGAACACAACACAATGCATCTGGCCAGGGATAGAACCCTGACCGCTTGATCCGGAGTTGAGCACACTAACCATGAGGCCACCACATGCACCTACGTAGTTATGGTGATCATTGCAATGCAGAATTGGTGCATCTCCCTTTTAAAACATTTTATAAACCTGCCAAGCGACTAGGCTTGATTTCCAGCCGCTGTTCGGGAAACGAGCCCACGCTCCTCCCACAAACTTCTCGGGGAGGAACAAAGACCAGATGCGAGAGAGCGGCGGAAATCAAAGCCTACCAAGCAACGTGACTAGATACATATGTGGAGAATTTAAAGGTACCAAAGACAAATGACCAACCACAAAGAAAACTTAATGTGGGAGAGTTAAGTGTCTTGCCCATCAGAACATTCTTATTTAGGGAAGCCTACAACTGTTTTGGCCTGACAATA